AAAAAAAAAAAAAAAAGCCATTCCAGCCACTGAGATGTTTTTGCCCAGTTTCTTCTGCTCTGATTTGCCTCATAAAGAGCACTAGGCCAGGCAAGACCAGTCAAACTAAGTTCTTAACTAGTGTTTAAAATAACCGACAGTACAGAGCCTGCTGACCTCTTGTCTCCTGAAGTCAGTGTTTCAGATCCTTTCCCCCATTATTCACAAAGGGAACCCACATGTGCTGCTTTGGGTTCCTCCATCACAGGATTTTTCTTAGCATGTTAAGGTCCTTCTCAAAATACATCCTAATAGGAGAATCACCCGGGATATTTACTAAAATACAAGCTTGTAGGCTTGTAAAACCCTACAAACTGAGCAAACTTCCTAGGAGTGGAGTCTGCTTTTCTTCAACAGGCTCTCCTAGGTGCTTCCTATGCATGGGGAACCTTTGGCTAAGATTTGCAATTCGGACTAAAATTAACCAGCTTTACAAAATATCAATTCTGGCCTAAGGGTCAACACTTGAGCTTTTGAGTCCAAAGTCATCAGGCACCACCTGCTGAGTGACACCAGGTACAAGTGCTCTCACAGGGTACCTATTATGCCCATTGCAGAGATAAGGAAATCTGCCCCATTTGTTAGTATGTAGAAAATTTACCATTCAAATCCAAGCCAAATCAAGTCCATGGTTTTATTTTTAGCTGCACTATTTTGCTTTTTAGGCTCAGATGGCTAAACTGAAATGGCAATGTTAAGAATTAGATAGCAATTAGTACTGGTGATATTACTGTTACTGGCAATTTTACAGTGGCAGGCACTTAGTCCTAAACTTTGGTTTTTACTAAAATGTTTGTAATCTCTACTTCAGATTATTTCCTAAATATTGTAGAACTGGTACTTTTCCAGCCAGGCATAAAAGGGCTTCAGTTTTTTGTTAATGGTTCCATATTAGGAGGAGTCTGGGATGGAAGGCTTTTTATCACAAGGCATTGTTTTGGCTCCCTAGGGAGGCAGATGGAATTCTGAATTAGATGTTAATTTCAGCACTCTCCTGAGTAATTCAAGCCAAAGGTGGCACTGGGGACTAGGGAGGTGGAGGAGTTTAGTTGATTCACATCAGATTTTGTGCTTTAGCTGAAAAGTTTTAGCCAAGTCACATTGGTAGGATTAGGCCTCACTGGCACCTCATAAACCAGGCAAAAATAGAGTAATGAAATAGTTGTAGTTGCA